GTTGGGCTTTATTGATTATATAGTGAAAATACATAATTTCTTTTTTTTTAAATTCTCTTAAGGTCAAGACCTACTAAATAACTTGAGACTCATTTTTTGGTGCCAGATCCATTATGACGTCAAAATCAATTTCAACTTTCTTTTTCCCCTATACTTTACGGCTTTAGCAGAATTATGTAGAAAATAGGGAATTTTCATGTCATTCAATTTGAAATCATATGAAAAGTAAACCGGATACCTATATTAAATTTGATATTAATTTAAAGAAGAGACCATGAACATAATAATTACCGTTTTCTGAAAGACTGTAGGCATTCTGGATACATTTCCTTTGCCGAATACGAAAAAAACTCCTATATTCATGACTGGTTTTCTTAATTTTTCATTGAAAATGGCAGTTTAAAATACAGTTTTTTCATCTTGTTTACCTACAAATTATGCCTTTTTGACCAAGCTTAAGTTGTAAAGCATCAATAAAGGAATTTATTTCTCAAGTTTGATAAATCTGTAGGCACCTTTCATTTACTAGATCTTAACCTTAACCAGGGTATTAAACCAATGAACTATTTACATGCTTATGAGGAAGGATGCCTCTTTGAGATTGTGCATGAATTTCAGGGCCCTTGGGTCAGGAATTCTTGTGTTAGGGCAGGACTATAATGTTTATACAGTGAAAATGCATGAATTATTTGACAATCTTTCCCTTTATCTTGGGTATTATGCTAATGATCTACATGTATATAAGTACATATTTACGGTTAAAAAAGATGCCTCTTCTAAAATGGTTAATTTCCGGGCCCCTGGGTCAGAGGTACTTGGGGGGTATATAATCTGAAAATGAATTAATGCTTTGAAATCTGCACTTGTAAATGCATATTTTGGATCAAGGATTGTGTTCTATATGAAATAGAGAAAAAATATATTAATTATCTAGTAGGTCATTTTAAAAAAAATTCAAATGATATGGGAAAATGACGCAATTTACCTTGTCATAATGCATTTGAATAAAGGGTAAATTACGCAATGTTCAATAGATGCAGTCCAAGTTATAAATACTGCATTTTCAAATTAAACTAAACAGTTTTAATATTTCAGAAATTCTCAGGGCCAAAAATGGCCCTTTGTGGCTCTCGCTCTTATTAAAATATATCATACTGGAACTTGAAAAACTATTTTTATATGAATGTCAAATCTGTATTTTACAATCACTAAAATATTTAATCCATTACATGTCATTATCCTTACATATCTCATGATGGTAATTTTTACCTTTTTGTCTCTATTCATAGCTTTAAACAAATACATCTGTATCCAATAACCGTAATAGTTGAAACATGAAAAGCAATTGGTATCACAATAGGTTTGTGAATAATTTTTATCTTTGTAAGTTGTGCTAATGTTTAATAATTAAATAAATGTGGATTGATGACCAATAAAATATTACAAATTGATTTTAAAATTCTAGTACTAAGCGTCGATGCTTTTAAAAATGTGTTCTTTGATGAATACATATTAGTTGATTTTCTACAATTCTTTTATTTTTACAAATCATTTATGCTGTTAAGGCCCCTATGTACATAATGGTTGAAAACTAAGCTTCTTTAATATATTAAAATGCTGACAAATTTATTGCTAAACGTGCATATTCATTCTCTTTGATATAAATATATACTTGATATAAATGGAACAGATTATTCAAAATATGATAAGCAATAATTTATTTTTTTTAAATTTTTTAACATAATTATATTAAGATATAGTTTCCACACAAAATATTAATGAGCACCTGTAAATATAGTACACATGATGTACAACATAGTACAACAGAATAAATTTGCTTTTATACTACGTGAGACGAAGAAACCTTTGATGAAAGTGATATTTGAAGAAGTAAAAAAGAAGCATAATGTAAGGGTTGTATTTTTATAATCATCCTTTCTGTTCCGGAACTTACTACAAGACTTTGAAGCCTGTGTAATAAACTGTGCAATAAATCTATTAGCAGTTTTAAAAAAATGAATTTTCCCCGCGCTTGCGTGGAGTTTCAGCTAGTATCTATTTGAAATTTGGTATACTCGTATTTTTTAATAAAAATGTTCGAAAGAGTAGTTATGATTCTTTTTCTCTTTACACTTATTATCCACGATTTTACCAGACAACCCTCGTGCAAGCGAACATAGATTAAAAGTAATTCAGGAAGTATTTTGATAACTGCATACAAAGCAGCATTTTCTAGTACAATAAAGATCTTGAAAACGTTAGAATTAACATTTTGCCTCCTTTACTTGGTAATATTGATTCATGTTTTCTATCATTTTATTTTTTTTATATCAGTCCATCAGTTTTACTATTTAGAAATTGACACTCTATGTAACTTTTACATAAGCGCTGCTATACATAAAAAATATATTTCCTTTAATTCTCTGAGAGATTGTAAATAAAAAGCTAATGTTTCCTTCAAAACTTTATTGATTTTAGCAATATCAATGCATTTGCACATTCAATTCTGTTAAATTGATATGCATGGCAATAAATTTAATTTAAAGGCCTGAAAATTTTTCAAGTACAAATTAAGATATATAAAAATAGAACAAATTAATATTTGGGTTTCTCCTTCGTTCTTAGTTTTGTTGCTCAAAATAGATGTCTAATTAAAATGTGTATACTATAATGAAATATATATTATGAAAATTCCTTGCCCTGTTTCTGAAAATATCTGTCTTCGCCTACATACCATTTCTTTACAAATGATTAACTATAACTTGAGTTAATTAAAGAATGTTTTAATAATGTAATTTTTGTAATACATGCAATAAATATTGAGAGAAATTTTTGTCATGAAGAATGTGCAGAGCAAAGCCTATTCTTCATGACAAGGATTTTTCTTCAAATTATCTTACTGAATTGAACAGAACTCAGTCAATCAAATAAATATAGAATAAAAAAAACTATTTTTGGAACATACAGTTGTTCATATATCATACCCGATCGAGTGGCCACTTTTGGCGCAGTTTAAAAAAAAATCTAAGTAATTTTCCACAGTTTTCCAGCGCAGAAAATGGCTAAGTTTCTCATTTTACCATTTTCCTCAAAGAATTCCACTACTTTCGAAGCCAAACAATGTCTAGGTCCAATTTTTTTTTTTAATTCCAAAATATTCCAAAAACTTCGAGACACACTTTTCGAGTTATGTGTGGGAATGATTGGAATTCCATGGATTTCCAAAACTTTTTCAAGACTCTTTGGAAAATCTACATTCAGGATATCGAACGCAAATCAATATATATCGAATAAACACAGTTTTAAAATGGACTCCAACAATTAGCATAGGCTTAATTAAAACAAATGTTGAATAACTGTAATACTGTTGATTGTTCATTTTACCAGAACAAACAAGTCAATGAATATCGTAAAAAAAAATTAAGTTATTTTTTTTTTCCAAATAATTGTGGATATTAAAATGGCAATTTCGTAGCTAAAAGTGGTGGACATTGCTCTAGCCGACGGGAAAATATCCTTGTACTTAAGGAAATAAGCAACACTTTAGCTCCTCTTGAGAAATTTTGATATCATAATGGTTTTCAGTTCGTATATTACTTTTAGATCATATTCTTTTGTGTGAGAAATAAAATCAATGAAGATAAAACTCTTTATGTAAATCAATTATCAAAACCCCATTTATCATTTCAGAAAAATTCTTCGCCATGCAGAAATGATTTCTCGCAAGTATTAGGAATTTAAGAGCATGTGATTTGCTGAAATTGAGGGTAATTTTCAACAACATATAACCTAGGCCATCCAAAGGTAGATCTCAAAACCTATAAAGAGTCTCTAATTACTGTTTGTTTGGAAACAATGGCTAAGATAGATATGTTATCTCTTTCATATCGCCATCTTTCGAACACACAAACAATAAGTCTTTCAAAGAGACACAACAAGCAGTAGGAGATGTCATTTCTTCAACGATGCGGAGAAGTTCCCCATCTTTATCTATTATGTGTATGCCATTTCTTGGATATGCAATGAGGATGTTACACTGCCTATCCGTTGCAACAGTTCGAGGAACATAAGTTGGACTCTCGGGGGGTGCATAGGAAAAACGTAGGATACCTTCTCGTTCAAATACAAATACGTTTTTTGTTACTGAATCTGAAATGCAGATATCTCCGTTTTTGTTTTCAGCAAGAAACCGTGGATTTGTATAGGGTTTTTCTCCTCTTTCATTGCCTAGATATCCTTCAAGTGTTCCATTAGATTTAACTTTGATAACGTTCCCTTTCTTTTGTTTAGAATTATACAGTCCAATCAAAATATGACCAGGGGAAACAAGGGAAAATGCAATTCCTTTGGGGGTCCATCCATCAGTTTCAGGGGTGAAGAATGGTCTAGCACCCTCAGTTGAAAAATGTTCATCTGTTTCATATACATCTTTGCAATTCGTTGCGGAGTAAAGGATGCGAGAACTAGACGTAGCAATACATCTGATAAAGGAATCTCCTTCATTTCTCCTTAACTCATTTTTGGACCAGTCGCCGCCTCCTTGCTTTTGGTAAAGCATGACGGACTGGTCATTGCAAACAATAATCCGCTGGGATTCCGGCAAGTCTCGTAGAAGTGCCATGCTCCATGCTTCTTTTACATTCTCATCTTTGTCCACGATTCCCTCTACATTGGGATTAGACGATATCTCTCTATCATCTACACCGTAAAATGCAAATTTATGAGATTTTGGAGAGTCTTTAGTTTCCAAGTGATCACCAACACATGTTTTACAAATTCTTGTTTCGCAATGTAGACATAAAAAACGCACTTTATTGTCACATTTATAGCATCGCACAATGTCCTGGCCTTGGAAATTTCTGTCGTCCGCTTTATTCCCTCCAGAAGTGCCAACATTACTGCCGAGTCTGTAATATTATCACATAACACAAACCTGATTAAAAATTATTGATTATATTTGTAACAATTACTGGGTATGCCATTTACCAAAATAAACAGCCGTGATTCATGAAGTAATTACAGCGCTATCAATTTATTTTACAAATTATGCTTTTTCTCAAGAAATGTATAAAAGTAAAATTTACATACCCCAGTTTTTTCAATGTTTTCGTCGTCATATTGTTTTAACTTTCAATCTAAAATAAAATAACCCAAACTGGTATGAAACGCAGATATTTGAGATCTGTGGTTTTTTGAAATATGATTGTGCATTATAGAGAGGCTATTTATATCTTTGGATTCTCCATTTTTAAATGTTTTCAGAAAACAGAATGGCTATTGAACAGTGCAACCATACTAAATTATTATCAATACAAGATCTCAGCGATAGAAAATTTCATTTCAAAAGATTTATTCATTGAAAGCATGGTGCGAGTAATTGAAAATGTCATAAGAGAATATATTTTATTGATTTAGAAATAAATACACTGCATGAGTACATTGCATGACCATTTATCCGTAATGGTTTTAAAGGTACTTGGACACAGATTTGAAGTTAATATTTTCTCATTTTTTCTGTATAATATCACGAATTATATATTTTAATAGCATTTCACAAAAAATTTAATTAAAAATCTTTTTATTTAAATGTTATCAAAACTTTAAATTTTTTGGCGGGTTTGATTGACACATCCTTGCACATTTACAAATTTTAACTTTATTCTTAATCCTTAGATAAAGTGGCAATTTTGATGTGTTTTAATGAGAAATATTAAAATTTTTATCAAGAAAAATAATTTTATTCAGAGTAGAAATGTAAGAAAGCAAAACACCTTCACAAGTATCGTCATTCCGAACTAAGGGATGCGTACAGAGTTTAGCAAATCGAACACACTCGTGTTATGTACACAGTTTTTGTAAACAGGGCTCGAGTACTGTTATTGTTTATATTTAGAATGCACCGGGTGCGTTCAATCGTCACAGTCTGCTTACCACAACTGCACGGACTGACAATATATTGTATGTTTGTTTTGCTTTTGAACGTGTCTACTCTGAATTTTCTAAATTATAGTATTAATATTTTCCATTCATACAAAACGAGATTGCCACTTTTCCTAAGGATTAAGAACAAAATTAAATTTGTGAGAGTGCAAGGATATGTCAATCAAACCCGCCGAAAAATTTGAAATTTCAATATCTTTTAAACGAAATAAGATTTTTAATTAATTTTTTGTGTGAAATGCTATTTAAAATATATAAGTCGTAATATACTCTTCAAAAAAAGAAACGCATAGTAGGAACAATGTCCTGAAAAATGTATGATAGTTTTACTTTTGTATGGATACGATGTATTCGAGTGAAATGCATGATTTTTGAATGCAATTGTTAACTTTACAGCTATTCTACAAGTCTCACAGACAAAAAAGACCTGATTTTGCAAAATTTCCCCCAAATTTTTTATCTCAATTTTCAATTGTTGAATTCCGATGCAATTCCTTCAGGTACAAAGGGGCTATAAAAAGCGGGGGTTCTCGATATCTTGAATCTGGTTTTATCTGAAAAATGACGCTTCCAAAAAATGCTTCATCTGAATGTTACGTAGCACAAAAAGGAAAATGGGCGACTTTAAGGAGGAATGCCACACCAACTTTTTATTTTATAGATCTCTGAGTCAACCTTTTTAAACAATGGTTTCAGCATTGAAAGGCCGACATTAGCTCTTAATTATTTTATATGAATTTTTTTGTATTTTTTCAAAGAATAATTTCGAAGTAGAATATTTATCTGAAAGCCTCTCATAAAATTAAGAGTGCTAATCCTTTGTTATGAATGACAGATAACTGCCTCCAGGACGTTAAAAAAGATGATGGTGGTAGTGTAATGATATGGAAAACGGTATTATAAGAAAGTAAGATTGATTTGGTTTGAATTCAATGGACTTGATGGAAAAAAGGTACTCTAACCATGTTCTACCTACACATACCCATTCAAGTTTGCAGCATCCTAGAGCCGTGTTGTTATCTCATAATACACAGCCACATATGGCTCGCTTGACACACCTATTCTTGCAAAGAAACAACAACCTGTTTCAGCCACCGTCATCTAAATCGCTAGATTTAATCAAAATTAAGCATCATTGGACAAAATGGATTGACATGATTTGCCAAAGATAATCGCATCCCCAGACTCTGCAACAACTGACCAAAGTTCTACATTTGGAGTAAGAGAGTATTCCTATACAGTTTTTATTATACAAATTTGCTTCCATTAGATGCCGTTTAATTCTGACATTTAGATAGTATTCCTGTTGCTTACCACATGTCTGTTTTATCAATGCATCATTTTACTAAATAATCTTTATGATCAATGGGTCAATAAAATTCTACTATGCGTTTCTTTTTTTGAAGAGTATATTATAGAGAGAATAATAACTTCAAATCTGTGTCCAAGTACCTTTAAAAAACATGTTGAATATCCCTTTTGTATGTTAATGGAATATTTCTGTTTTTTTTTTTTAAGTTTCAAAAACTATTTTGATATAGATTTTTATTTGATTTGCTTATTTTTTGCTATGGTGTATTCATTTAATTATTTGTTGTGTTGCTTCGTTCCTTCAGAAACTAAATAAATATTATTGCATAAATCAGATTGATGATATGTATTGTCAATCAACATTTCGTAACTAATCATCAGCAGCCACAGCAAGCTCTACCATCATAATTTACATTCAAACGATGCTGGCCGATTTACATGTGAGCTATTTCAATAAAAAATACAAGAGGCCCATGGGCCTTATAGGTCACCTGAGCATTATTCAACAACTTTCCAGTGATTGAATTTGATCCATGTTTTAAGCACCATTTTTGGAAAGGCATCCTTGCTTTTCAAAAATATTTGATTAATACCAAGGAGCACATTTCAAACAATTCATTCATTTTCAGTATATAAGTACAGCCCCCCCCCCCCCTCTATGGTACAACTGACCCTGGGGCCTTGAAATTTACAATTCTTGAAGATTAGGGATTACTCATAACTATATAGGTAGTTCATCTGCTTAAAACCTAGGAGCAAAGAAGAAAATATTCAAAGATTTAAGGTTTTTTCACTATACATGTATAATCAATACAGCCCCACCCTAACACCAGAATCCTTGATCCTGGGGCCATAAAATTCACAATTTTGGTAGAGGCATTTTTGCTCATCATAACTATGTACTTAGCTAGTTTATTTAAAACTTAGGAGCAGAGAAAAAGATTTTCAAAGAATTCATGTATTTTCTCTATATAATCAATAGAGCCCCGCCCTAAAACCAGAACCCCTGACCCTGGGGCCATAAAATTCACAATTTTGGTAGAGGCACTCTTGCTCATCATAACTATGTACTTAGTTAAATGATATAAAATCTAGGAGCAGAGAAGAAGATTTTCAAAGAATTCATGTATTTTCACTATATAATAAATAGAGCCCTGCCCAGACACCAGAACCCCTGACCCTGGGGCCATAAAATTCACAATTTTGGTAGAGGCACTCTTGCTCATCATAACTATGTACTTAGCTAGTTTATTTAATACCCAGGAGCAGAGAAGAAGATTTTCAAAGAATTCATGTATTTTCTCTGACAGTGAGTGTCTTATCAATAGAGCCCCACCCTAACACCAGAACCCCTGACCCTGGGGCCATAAAATTCACAATTTTGGTAGAGGCACTCTTGCTCATCATAACTATGTACTTAGTTAGTTTATTAAATATTCAGGAGCAGAGAAGAAGATTTTCAAATAAATAATGCATTTTCACTATATACTTATTTAGCCCCGCCCTAGCACAAGAACCCCTGACCCCAGGGCCATGAATTTCACAATTTTGGTAGAGGACTCAATGCTGATTACAATCATGCAAACAGTTTGACTGCTTGATGTCCAGGAGTAAAGAAGAAGATTTTTAAAGATTGCATTAATTTTAGTGATGTTGGCCCCACCCCCCAGGCCCCAGGGGGGTATGGATCATGAAATTCACAATTTTTGTTCCCCTTCACCCATAGATGCTTTGTGCCAAATTTGGTTGCAATTGGTTCAGTGGTTGCAGAGAAGAAGCTGAAAATGTTCAAAAGTTTACGACCGATTGACGACGAACGACGTACGACGTACGACGGACGACGACGGACAAAAACAGATAGCAATAGGTCACCTGAGTGACTCAGGTGACCTAACAAGGTACTGTTAACGATGTCTACAATTTTGATATTAAGGTCAAGAGAATTCTTTTGGAGGTGTTTGATCTGAGTATAACGTTTTGCTAATAATAATAATACATGTATAAGTTCTCAATAATCTATATACACAACCAAACACCGCATGTTGGATTTTTCCCCCTTCATCTCAGTTTTTAAAATCTGAATCTACCCCCCCCAACTGGATTTTTTTTTCATTTCTACCCCCCCCCCCCCCAACTGGATTTTTTTCATTTCTGAAGAGGTACGTTTTCATAACTCAGAACATTTTTCATTTGGTGCTAGGGATTTCATATTGCAGTACATGTTTATTCAGTATGATAAGCCCTTTCCTTGGGTATTAATATTTTAATGTTTTGACTTTGGAGTCTGACCCACATTAAAAAAAATTGAAAACTTTGGCCACAGTTTTTTTTCTATTCAGAATATGTTAATAAAAATAATTATTTTGAAATTAATTATATTTTTATTGACAAAAATCAAAAGACATGATTGTGTAACTTTTTGTCAAACATCAGAACCATTAACATGATTAAGCTTTTTCACCTTATGATGATTATGTCTCTCTTTACATTCAGAACCTTACATTTATTAATTAATTAAGCAAAAGATGCGTGCATGTTGACACGGCTTAATAAAAAGAAAATGTCAAGCAATTACTCATTTCATTGCATAAAATGTGAGGGTTTCATAATTGCTACATATGCAACAAACATTATTTTTCTTGGCAATTTTCACAAAAACTGGATTGTTGAGATTGCCAAATATCCTAATTAGTTCACCATCATTTGATAACACATGGATATTATGACTATGCATTCCAGTAACATATATGTTTCCTTGTGAATCGCTCTCAAGTCCATATGGACTTTTCAGATCAGGACTTGTATATTCCCAGACGGATTCCCATTGGTCAGTTATGGCACTTACTTTGTCAATCTTCCAGTCAGTGTACACAATAAATCCAGACTTTGTAGTAAGAATATTGGAAGCACTTGAGCCTGTTGTCTTAAAAGACTTTATTTTGTTACCCACATTGTCAATTTTAACAATCTTGCTGCCAAAGGCCAAGTAAAAATACTCTTTCAACCTTGAAATACCAAAAGTGTCAAATCCAAGGTATATGGTTCTTGAAATCGTGAAATCAAATACAGAAAACACATCAATGGATTGTGAATCAACACATGCAACAAACAAGTCATCTCCATCAGGCAATATGCCGTATGGATTCTGCAATGGTTCTTGAATTCCAATCAATTTCCATTCCTTTTTAGAGAGTTTTCCATAACAAAATCTCCCTTTCTGTCCATCAGAAAATATGAATGTTTTGTTTGATAGCCATGCTCCACGGTGAATCCTTCCTTCACTGACATTAAATTTAGTAATAGAACATAGCTGAACACTGCTAACATCAAAGGAAAACTCTGGAATATCTTCAACCAATTCAGTGACCTTGAAACTTGCCAACTTCTTCATGTTTGCTATTTCTTTCATAATAGGTTCTTTCATAGCCATTACCTGTACCAATTTTGTCCTAAATCTTATTCTTTTCAGGTTCTGAAATGCCTCTTTTGCTGCATAATATTTTATCGGTAGGGTTGACTCATCTTCTTTTCCTTGGGCTTTTTCAAGGATATCAGAACAAAAGTCAGCACACTGAATACCATCGCTCAAGGTGCCCACATTTCTAGTAAGTGTTTCTTTGCTTTTTTTTTACAACAGCAGAAATCTCATCTAAATGTTCTGTTTTTAATCTCTCTATAAGACAAACAAGATCATTTAATTCTTTTTCCGTCTCTTCTGTAACTGTGTCTAAAGTGTCTTCTAGTTCTTTTATATTTTTCTCTTGTTTGCCCTTTGCATGTGTCAATTTCTGTTTAAAATTTCTCACATCTTGTAAAATGCTATCAAGTGTGCCACTCGCTTTGAAAGTTTCTGCAGCTTTTTCAATAGGTTCAACAGAGTCGCATTGTCTATGCTCCATGCCACCACAGACAACACAACAAGGCTCTTCGTGTTTTTTACAGTAGAGTTTCAGCTTTTGGTCTGGGTGCTTCTTACAAATGTCATCTTTTCCAAAGGTTGATTGAATGTGTTGCAGTTTTAACTCTTTGAGAGGACAGATGCTATGGTCTCTTGATAACAAATGTTTTCTATGAAACTTGGTACACATTTTGCATAAGAACTCCAAACAAGATAAACAAAAATCAGACGCTTCTTCCTCTTCATTATCTCTCATACAAGAATCGCACATTTTTTGTTCTGGACTTCCTAGCATTTTCTCCAATATTTCATTTACAGGAAAAGTTTCTACCCATTCCTCCGGCTTATCAAACGGACCGACAACTGGAGTGTATTTTCGGCACAATGGACAATTAAAACCTAAGCGCGGTTCTGTAGACTTACACACACTTACAATATGTGACGATAAACAGCCATGACAAAAGGAATGAGAACATGGTAGATATCGCGGTGTTTTGTATTTCTCAAAGCATATAGAACAAACTGTGACGTCCTCAAACGAGGAGCTGTCAGTCAAAGCAGTAGCCATCTTCTTTATCCTCTCAATAGTAACAATATATTTCTTTTTAGAATAAAAACTTTAGAAGGTCTAAGAACAAGATTCCATTTGTCATTTCCTTCTGGTGGCCCTTCTCGGTAGTGGATCAGTTTTACTTTCGGTTTTAGTCAAATTGTTTTTCGATCCCGATCTAAATTTTCCATCTAGGTTGCAGAATGGTGTAATTTATGTATTACACGCATTCTCAATTTATAGTCACAAATCGATCTTGGGAAAAGTCAAAAAAATTAGTGAACTGAAATTAACACTTTTATACGTCATTTGAAACATGAAAGTGTATAGTTATTAAAAATCGCAATTTGATTTACATACTTCATGCATTGTCTTGTTGGCCTCCTTCGAAATAAAAGCGGTTGGAGGGCTAATTTTACACCAAGATATTTAGGTGATGTTGAAAAGCCATATTTGGAAACGAAAGACTTTTTTTTTAAATACAAAATTAATATAATACACATCAAATTTTGTTAACTATAAACATTTATGAAACGTTTAAGCACATTTGTAAAAGGGGTGTACAATCTTTGATTCAATTATTAGTAAAATTAAAACGGACATAATTTTCATTTAGATGAAATTATTTTCTTTTTATTTTAACAAGTTTTAGCTCATTCGATGATAAGCTTAATAATGATAATATTCCCTAAAATGCTACATTAATTGATTCTTTATTAATCTGCTCAGAGAAACGCACATTATTTAGAATATAAAAAGGTTAAATATTTCGCCATTACCTGATTACGAAGTGTTTGTTAAATATCACGTAAATATCGCACATAGATATCATACAAAAATAAAAGTATATTCGGGGGGAAAATGATTATATTATTTCAAATTATTGAATTTTATGAATTTTCTAATCTGTGTTCTTACAAAGGGTTGAATTGAAAATTCAAGTTATAAATGATTTATCTATAGAGGACTCATGTAATTCATAACACCCCCCTTCCACCAATTAATCTGTTGATTATTTCAAATGCAGTCATTCACATAGCATCGTTTTTGAAAGTGTATGTGTGTGTGTGGGGGGGGGGGGGGTAGCCAGAGAATTTTTTTTACTTACTTTGAAAGTTGTTGACAAGGCAAAAAAAAGGGGGGCGGGGTGAGAAAACTTGCTCAAAGTCGAAAATCCTAGAGGGGGGAGGCGAACTTTTTTCAATGCCAACTACATTCAGTACCAATTATTACGATATATTTTCCGTACATCACTATTAGTGGGGGTGGGGGCAACCAGCCTTTTACTGAACATTTACTGAAGTTGAAGTAAGGCTGGAGAAAAAAGGGGGGCAGGGTGGGACTGCTCCCCCCCTTGTTGCTACATACCAGAAATGCTTAATTGTTTGTGAAAACTTTATCGTCAAATCTCAAAAATAAAACAAAGATCGCCCACCACCCTTAAAAAGTTTGTCAATAATTACAGTTGCACATCACATGTGCTCTATAGAGCAATATACATTCTACGTTCATATAACGTAAATTGAATTTTCAGTACCATTAAAGCATAGACGCATACCTCCTAAGTCATATGTCTATGCAACAATGCAAATGGGAAAAATTAGGTGCAAATTTTATACATGTTAATAAATGTATTTCTTGCAAAGCAACAAAAATGGAAATGGATTCAATTTCAACCAGTATCTTGACACACAACACCTACAGCCGTCTTTCTTTTTTTACCCGATGTAGAACACCCCCCCCCCCCCCACTGCATGCAACGCAGCGCCTATTTTCTGGAATTATATTTCCTACAAAAATGATTTTTTTTTTCTTCAAAATATTTAGCTTGGTATACAATTCAAGTGTATATAACCATTTTTTTAAAGTTGACGATCACTATCAGTTCAAACAAACAGCAAAATACAGACTTGAAGAAAGTTTTGTGTTTCAGATTTACGTTCCGAATGATAACGTGCATTACACTTGAAACTATGCAATATTAACCAATTGCTCAAAATGGAAAGATTCAATTATTAAACCACGATTCTACTTATGAATAATATTATGTCAATTCAATTTTCAAATCACACGGATGCACAAGATATTGAGTAAAAATGTTCACCTTTGCATGTGCACTTCCATTTGCATTTCTGCACTCTTGTTACAGAAAAAAATGACATTTTAAGAAACAGTGTATATTTCTTCATGTTCTTAGTATTTACATCGTAAAGATTCACTCGCAAATCTGTTCAAACAGCTTTAGAAATTAATACTTATTTACTTTAAAACATGGTAACGTAAATATCGGTAACGTAAATATCGGTAACGTAAATATCTTTTTGAGATTTATCGTAACTTTTAATGCCATTGTTCAATTATTCCACTGTTAATTAAAGGCATATTCTAGTGCTTGAGTGTAAGGCAATTTGGCCCATAGGGAACAGTGTAGTTCTCTTACTTAATTTGTGAATAAATACTAACACGTAAATATCGTTGAATTTTTTAACCATTGGACTTATAAGAAAAGGGGGGCTATTGTTCATAAACACAGATAAACAGTGTCTTTTTTACCTTTCCATGCAATAGAAAGGGTGCTCATGATGTTAAAAAGTTACAACTTAGTCTTATTGAGTTAGTTCATCATTCCTTCCAGTCCTTTTGAATTTCCAAATAGAAAAGTAATAATTTTGCGGTGACATCAAAATTTGATAAATATATTAACATTTTTAAAAATCTGTGACACGCATATATGTGAAGGGTGTGATATTCAGAAAATATAACTCAAATGTAGGACAATCTTACTAAGAAAAAGATATGTTAATGATTTAAAAATTCTTTTTGGTTTAAAATAAAAACTACAAGATGATCGGCGACAGTAACGTAAATATCGATTTCTGCTATAAAATGTGATTTTCTCCTAAGATAATCATTCAAGCTACAACAAACAATTGTTGTATTTTAATCAACAACCAACAAAGGTTCGTAAAACTGGCAGAAAATAAAATTTATTTGAAATATTATATTACTTAAAACGCGGTACATTATTTAAAGAGAATTGAGACTATAAATTGAGAATGCGTGATTAACATGTTTTTTTCTAGGTGTGTCTGAAAACACTCTTTGAAATAAGAATCAAAAATCGCTGAAATAATCACGTTTCAAAAAGTTATTGAATAAAAAAAGTAAAACTTGCATTTTTGAACAGCTAGTACGAATTTAATATTAAATTATTCACATGAGTATTTCTTGTTACAAACCCTTTCTCTTGGTACCAACAAATCAATTACCTTTTGAATGGCTGAAGCTAGAGCAAATGTTATCAATATACATGTAAGTAATTCAAATCTCACAGATCAAATTTTCTTAACAGTTAGTATTTATCCTGACAACAATATTACAAGTTCTGTTTCAATATAGGCCTTAAAATTCATTGGGGATTGACCTATTCCAATAACTAGGTCAGGGATCCAGGATCCAAAGAAAGTCTTGTAGTGTCCATCTCTACTTGCATCATCCATGCAAGTTTGGTCCGGGTTGAGGCAATCTAATTAAAATTATATATGTTAATTAAATCCGTATATAGTGAGTATGCCAGCGGATCTGCATGACATCTAATTTTAATTGGATTGTTGGGGAAGAGGCTGATAGTTACTTGGGAATGGACCTGCTCCAAAAACTTTAATCTGGTCACTCTTTCGGAAAATGTAGGTCAGATCCAGCATTCGATGCAAATTTCGATTGTCCATTAGATGCATCATCCATGCACGTTTTGTCCAGGTAGAGCTTAATATAGTTTATTGGGAATAACTTCGTCATTCATCTAGTAAATGTAGATCTGCATCCGAAGCAAATCTTAATTGTAGTGTCCATCCTTATAGATGCATCATCTATGCAAGTTTGATCAAGGTAGCACTGATAATTTACTTGGGAATGGAACTGCTCCGAAAACTTTAACCTGGTCACTCATTTGGAAAATGTAGGCCAGATCCAGCATCCGAAGCAAGTGTGGTAGTGTCCTTCCCTAGATGCCAATCTCTTCGTGTCCAGAGGGCGTTTATATACCATCCGCGCCAACACCTCTGTTATCGTCTAAATTACATGAATCTCGTAAAACGAAAATAAATCATAGATTTACATCAACTTAGTAATTTTTTAAAATGAAATTAGAAATATTAATTTGTAGCACTTCTTTTTTTTATTTAAAATTAAAATATCTATTAGAATAACTTCAATACCGGTATGTACGGCACTATTTTATTTTGATTTTTTTCATTTTGAAACCTAGGAGACAAGTTCGAAAAAATATTTACTACCAGAGAGCTTAAAATACGTTACATCACTTGCAAAACATACAAAACAATTAATGTTTATACAATTTTCGTTGAATTTAATTATTTGACAATTCGAACTACTTTTTAGACGACAACAGAGGTGTAAGCGGTCTCTGGTGAAAAATCGCCCTTAATGCATACTCTATGCAAATTTGGTCCGCGTAGCCCTGGCTTACAGTTACTTGGGAATGGACCTACTTCAAACACTTTAATCTGGTCACTCATCTGAAAAATGTAGGTCAGATCCAGCATCCGAAGCAAGTCTGGTAGCGTTAATCTCTATATAGTTGCATCATTCATGCTAGTTTGGTCACCGGTTAGGGCATATATAGTTACTTGGGAATGGACCTACTCCAAAATCTTTAACCTGGTCACTCATTTGGAAAGTGTAGGTTAGATCCAGCATCCGAAGCAAGTCTGGTAGTGTTCATCCATAGATGCATCATTCATGCAAGTTTGGTCCCAATAGGGCTTATACCTGTAGTTACTTTGGAATGGACCTGCTCCAAAAACTTTATTGGTCACTCATCTGGAAAATGTAGGTCAGATCCAGCATCTGAAGCATGTCTGGTAGTGTCCATCCCTAGATGCATCATCCATGCATTGTTGCGTTCTTTTTTTTCCTTTGAAGACCTCTGTGATTTTATTTTTGATACATCATGGCTAAGAGACCAGGCAAATTTTTCTTTAGTTAACGATCTGATGAATATAGTTTCACGATTTGTGAACAACTCTTAACTAAAGTTTTAGATTGTAAATTATAGTTTACAGACGTGAATTTATATGTTTG